AGACTCGAAGAAGTCATCATCCTCTAACCACGATCAAAATTTAAATCAGTCCCTATAGAGATTGAATTTGATAAAACTAATATCAAAAACGAACTCAGCACGTCGAAAAACCATAGGAACGACTCCTGGATCACCGAAATCCGCTTCCAAATCCTCGATCAAAAGACAAATCAACCTCAATCGTCGGATCTGTCGCCGCTATAGTACCATGAACAGTGCGTCACCGTGAACAGTTCATCCGTTACAGTACCACGGTGAACAGTGTTGTTGCTACAATACCGTTACCGCCAATGTTGTTGCAAATCTCGAATCTCCACGAACCATCGAACCCCGCTTTGATACCACTTGAAGGGATTTTTTTTAGATCTCGCAAAAACTCCAAAAAAGCCACCAAACACAGCAAATAAAATCACGCAAAATTTAACGTGGAAAACCCTCAATAGGAAAAAAATCACGGGATCAAAATCAATCCACTATCACCGTCAAATTATAATCTTTTGCATGGACAAAGACTACCAAACCCTCTCTCTCTTTCTCTCTCTACTTCTTCTAACAATAGAAGGATATATATAGAGAAACCAAAACATTATCTCTAGCCTAACTTCCTAATTAGAATAAGATTCAAACTCCCAATCATGATGGAACCCAAACTCCTAATCATGATAGATCCCTAACCTTATCTAAATTCTCATGAAGTTATACAAAGAATTAAAAACCCTATCCTAACTTGGAGTTTAAGTAGATACCCAACAGGTTCAAGGCCAACCATGTCAGAGTGGGTTGAGCTTACTTCTCTGATTTCAGGTATATGACTGAACTCAGTCAGGCACATGACCCACCTAAGTGCCGGTCGGGTCTAATTAGGCTCATGATCACCTGGGTCGTGGGCTAACCCATAGGTTTTTCGTCCAAGTTTTTTTTCCATTTTGCCTTTTTAATTATATTAAACTTGTATTTATAATTACAAAATTATTATTAATTTATTTTTAGTATTTTAAACATATTAAACTATATTTAAACTTGTATTAATATTTTTAATCCCTCCAAGTAGATAGCAACGAGCTTAAAGATTACTTTTTTATTTCTCAATGGGCCAAAAGGCCCACAAGCTAAAGGCCTATAGCCTTTTGACTTTGTTGATTGCTGGCTGGAGACCTAAAAGGCTAAGGAATAACTAGCCTAATTAAAAAATATATTATGAACCGGGACGGGTTGGGCATGGATCAGGCCTCCTTCTCTAACCATGCGTCTAAGGCTGGACCCAACTCGACCTGTGACCCAGGTATATCATAAGTTGGGTGACCCATGATGGGCTGGGCTGGATCAGCCTGTGGGTCGGCTCGCCCCACGCCTAACCCCATGTGGATACCCATAAGTGTCTCGGGGTATAGCAAAGTTCAGATCGTTTTATGAGAATAATTTCATTTAGGGGTTGTTTGGTTGGTTTCCTAAAAATCAAGAAAATAAAAAGGGTACATGGAAATTAATAAAAAATTATTTTCATCCATTTCTAATTCTAAAACTCACCATAACATCCAATAAAATATTATTTTCATCTCATAACTCATCTTATATCATCTCCTAAAAATAAACCAAACACAAGAAACGAGTCATATCATCCAACGTCATCTCATCTCCATTACATCTCATCTTTAAAAATCACTCACGTCATCCAATAATATGGTGACAACTCATCTCATCTCATTAACATTTCATTTCCACCTATTTCCTCCAAAAAAAGCTAGGAAATCGATTTCTTTAAGTGTGGGTCAAATCATCCAATAATATAATGAGAACTCATCTTATCTCATCTATTTTCTTATTTTTATGAATGAACCAAACAAAAGAAAAAACCTATTATAGGAAATAAGTTTCTTATAATTTATTTTCTTATATTTTTTAGCCAACCAAACAACCTCAAAACAAATTTTCTTAAAAAATCACACACATCATCCAATAATAATGTGACAACTCATCTATCATCATTTGATTTCCTTCTTTTTTTAGCCAACCAAACAATCTCAAAACAATTTTTCTTAAAATAGATTTTGTTTATTCTTTGATTTCCCTCTCTTTTTAGGTAGACAAACAGCCCCTTAAAAAAATTAGTGGGGAGAGAATAAAAAATTAAAGGATTACGATAAAAGTTTTTATACATGGAACTTATCAGATTGGGATCATCTACTAATGAGAAGGTTCCTAATATCTCCTAGTGAGATCTTGACCTTTGATTTATCAATTAAAGATCAAGATCTCCTCATGAGCAAAAGTAGGAGGATGATAAGGATAAGATCTTAACCTTTGATTAATAAATTAAAAACTAACATCTTTTTATTAGGAGATATTATGAACATTATGCATTAGTAGAGGCTCCCAGTAAGAACTTATCCGTGTAATTTGGCAATCCCCACAAAGTTGTGCCGGAACGTGGTAACCTTTCACCCTAGCTTTTTCCGTACTTTGTTGGGGCTCAGCTGCTAGTAAATAGTCGACACGTGTAAGGCAATGTAGAGCACGTGTGGGGACTGACAGTTCAGAATGATGGCGTTCCGTTGTCCCGTCAAAAAGTAAATTCAGGTGCCCCTCCAGACAAGGACAGGCCTTGTCAAACGTCACCCCCACCACCCTTTCACATCGCACGTGGGGAGCTCTGCACTCACCCGCACGTGTGGGTCCGCATGGTCGTCCTTTTTTTTTTTTTGAATTTATTTTTTACTGAGTAACTAAGCTTTGGCGCTTGGTAAAATTGGAAACAAATCTCATCACAGTTGGAAAAAGAGGGAGGCTGCCATTTGGGTGTTAAGGACGAAAGGCCAGGTGCATGATATGACAGTGATCAATTCTTGCATTCTCATTTACTTCACTGAGAGGGGCTTCTCTTTTTGGCTCAGATGCATTTATGCGGTGTTTATGTGCTTGGCTCTTCTTGATTATTTTTGTGGTGTTTGATGTGAGCTAGCTACTTTACGTACATTGAGCGTTGGTTGATGCACAACAACTTTTAGGGGTTGTTTGGTTCGATCAAATTCTTAGGAATCTTACAGTTTTTTAATAAAAAGTAGGTTTTTTGATATTATAGGATTTCAAAATTGCTATTTGGTTCAACTTTTTTTTAAGAATACATTTCTTAAATGCTGACATGGCAGCCCAATTTATAGAAAACTCAATTCCTCTTTTTTAGCTCGGAAATGGGCTAGAAAGTAGGGCTGAGCATGGTTCGGTCCAAACCGAAAAAAACCGACCGAACCGACCCGAACCGACCCGAAAAAATTGGTTTTATGAGTAGGGCGGTTCGGGTCGGTTTGAAAACTTTTTAACCCGAACCGACCCGGATATAGTGCAATATTCTGATCTCAAACCCTACCCGACCCGTCCCCAAAGAGTCAAAGAATGAACCCTAAACTCATTTTCTAAATCATTATGGGTTGAAAATAATATCATTATATCAGTGTTTAATGCTCCATAATCTCCTACTTTGTTGATATCTTTTTTTTCTTTAACACAATTTGTTGTTTGATAAGAAGTTTGATGAAGTTAAAACCGAACAAACCGAACCGAACCACACCGAACCGACTTGCAACAGTTTGGTTCGGTTTTGAATTATAGGCGGTTCGGTTCGGTTGTTCAAATTATGGTAAAAACCGAATCGAACCGACTGTTGCACACCCCTACTAGAAAGCTGACAACCATGTGACAACTCATCATTTCATCTCACAACTCCCTAAATTATTTGATAATGAAACAAACATGAGTTTTCGATATGCTTTCATATTCTTCACTTTATCATTCCATATCAAACACAAGTTATGAATTCCTTTGATATCGGATTTTTTTTTGGAAATGGTTATTTGCCTTGGAATTCATTTCCATAATTTTATGGAAATGAACCAAACAACCCCTTAGACCATCTTCAACCCAAAAACTCAAAATGGTGTAGTTTTTACACCAAGTTGGTATAGTTTTTACACTAAATCACTATTCCATCTCCAACCATTACACCAAATTTTACACCAAAAAGAATATTCATTTTATTTACAAACTATAAAATGGGATATAGTTGGAATATTTGATTTGTTATAACAAACTATAAGGGCAAACTTGGGAAAAACCAAAATCTCCATATCTACAGTGCTGCGTCAAATCTGGCGCAACACTGTAGCACCTCATCAAAATGGCGCTGAATTTGCAGTCCGGTTGGAGGAAGATTTGGTGCAGTTTTTGCTCCATTTTGGATTTTTTATGATAATTAGAAATGAATATCATATATAATTAATAAAAAGATTCAAATCCACAATATCCACAGAAGAGGAAATGGTATCACCATTTAATTATTACTTCTCAAATTTATTATGATAATTAGAATTAGATCAAAATAATAATAAAAAAGTATAATCTATATATGTACAAAACGAATGATTTATGTATAACTACAGTGCAACACAATTCAAGTGGTAGTGGATTATATACTAAAAAGTTGAATGTAATGTTTTTTCTCAAAGGCATTCATCATAAGTTTTGTAATATTTTTCCATTTTCACTCTGTTTTCACCTAATATAGGGATAATAAGTTTAGTTTTTTGAACAATATGTTTGCGTTTAGGCCTATTTATAATCACGAGATGAAAAGTAAGTAAAAGCATTATGAGAAAATAATGATGAATGAGCAACTTCTTTTGCGAACTAAGCTCATCAAGACAAGTGGTGAGTTTTTTCCCCCCCTCACTAGATACGATTGCGCAGCTGACTTTACCGCTCCTATTTCTGAATGCTTAATATCGCTAAAGAAGCTGGCAGTTTTATATTCAGTACCTAATACCATTATTCATTGCATAAATCATCCCCGTCCGTGCAACTAGCTGAAAGCGTGAGCACTAACCTCGCCCAGTTTATGGCCCTCTTGGTCTTTAGCCCATGAGGCTGAGTAGTCCAAACAAAGCCCATGCTTCCAAAAGCGAGAAAAGCAAAGAAATCCGACAACAAAAAAAGCGGAAGCTTCGAGATAATAAGTAAAATCAGTCCCCGATATATTAAAAAAAAATTCCTGAAATCGCTCCGGCCTTTGATGGGCGTTATAGCAGACAGTTTTATTAAACATCTTTCTGGATGTAAACAAGCTCCATTGCAAAAACAGTATAGTTTCCCTTTCAAATAGATACTCAGGGAGAAAATTGAGCGGGGTTGGAATTTGCTAAATAAACACAAGCAGCACAGCAATCGCAGAGAGTTCGTTGAGAAAAGAATGGGAGAGAGCAGCAGATAAAAGCCGGACGCTTTTACATGAACCAAAGACCAACTGTAACGATGATGAAGCATAACAGAATGACGGAAAGCATCAGATCACTTTGACGACTGAAGACAGCGACGCAGTAGCCGAATATATTGCTAACTAACCTGTGGAACCTGGTCAATTATTTTCACGGAAACTAGAGATTGAACTCTCACAAGCAGCAAACATAACGCGCAACAAGATACGCACAGCTGCAGACTCTGACCGCTCCGAGAAGCGGAATTCGCTTCCGAAACCCCTCCACTGCTGCAACGTCTGGGCGAAAGCCTGGTACTTACGGATGTCAGCATCACTCACGCTTCTCCGAGCAAAACTACATCGACTCTTCAAAGTGAGCAGCCTTTATCTCTGCAGCCTCATCCACCTCATCTTCTTCCATAGCTTCAGGATTCCCACCTCTTCTCCTCTCCCTTTCAATGTCCTGCCAATAAACAGTTCATAGAAGCGGTAAGATACCAAAATTGCACAGAACACTTCTATAGTCACAGCTTTCTCAATATGAGAAGTTGCATATGTTGTGAAGGTACGTATGAAGGACATCTACAGAATGAAATAAGCAGAATAAGCTTCCTTCAAGAATAAAAAAACACCTTCCCTTCCAGTCATAAAGGCTCCTAAAATAATTGCTCCTAAAATAATGGATTCAAACTACAGATTTTGGTGTGGGTTTGGGCCAATTTCTGCTGAGCTTCCCATGAGAGTCTATAGTCAATACAGCAGAGTTTAAGAAATGTGATCATCTATGTAATGACACATAATGATGCTAAATAACAGAAAGTTGCCCTTGAAGAAACTGCTCAAATCTTTGACAGTAAGAATGTAACATGAGCCGGAATTGATATAGATAGAGACGCCATTGTAGACTATGATCAACAAAAAGTAAAGTGTTTGACTGGTTAATCTGATCGACTGATACCACTTTGTAACGTCCCTCAGAGAGGTACATAAAAATTTGGGCAAGACCTGTCTGTAATAAGAAGGGTCGACTTGCTTAATCTTTATGTACATCACAATATATATACTGAAGGGCGAAAAAATAAAACAGTAGGCATGTATATGCAATACTCAGGATCACAAGGTTGATAGCATAGGAATACCAACATAGAAGAAAACTACGGGAACTACAAAATATTACAATAATGATAATAGCCACAAACATTAGTACATGTTTGAAAAGTCGAAAGTACTACAAAAGTGCATATAAATTAACTCCTACTAAGATTTTCCTCCGAAGCTAATCTTCAAATTTGGGGTCTGCAATCCCCTTACCTTTGCTGATGGTATGACCTGCGAATGGATATAGTATGACCTACGAATGGATATAGAAACAATAGGGGTGAGTCTAATGCTCAATTGGTAACCATAAAATTTCAGGTACAACATAAGGGGATGAATGAAAAGGATGGATATAGATATTCGAACTTGAACAAAGGGATCTCAACGTTAAGTTGTCATACTTATATCAAGATCATTGATCAAAATGAAATAACATGTAATGAATAATCAATGCCTAATATTCAGGATTCCAAACTCCACAATCATGGGATAATTAATAAACTGCGCATGCCTTTATACACCCACCTGTGAGTGTCCTCACACAGAGCATTGTCCCTACCAGGACCCATTACTATTACCAACAACCGGTGAAGCTTACTTCACACAGGTCATAATCCATGAATATAGACTATCAATCATCAACAAAGAGATGAATACTATCATTATCAATAGTCAAATCATCGAAGCAAGTCGAATTGTTGCAATATAATCGTTCAGGGATATCGAAGGTATAAAACTGAAATAAACAACTTTAAGATAACAATGGTTAAGTAATCAACAAAGAGCTTACACATGAAGTGAATCAAATAGGAATATTACGAAAGTGATAAGATATATAATTTAGTATGGGAAACTAACTCGCAGGAATTTCAAGAAGTAATCAATCGAACTTTCAAAGACATGAGAGGAGACAATGAAAAGTTACCTACTGATTATGCCGGGATCCTCTCGGCCAACGAATAAATCCAAGAGTCGCTGTCCTATATACATGTATACCCACATGAGATTCTAAACACTGTCTTTTATAATTTTTCTAACTTAAAACTTATATCATGGTATAAGCGACACTCTAGATGTTTACATCCAATATCCCTAACATGCACAGCAACACAAGTAGTGTACATGTAACAGATTTAGGCGAATGGATGGTATAACAATTAATGTCCAAAATGCATGAAACTAGTTCCAAATGACTCCATTATGGGTCTAATTTTAGAATATAAAAATTTTACATCAATGCATGTTAGGAATCTTGACCCCAAGATTAGTTTGTTTTGATGATAACAAATATTATATATTGCGTGTATTATGTGCTAATATTTGTTTTGCAATATCAGAGCTAAATCAATAATTATATTCAAAGAGATACTCAAGACATAGATGAGTTCAAGACAAAATGAAGCAAAGAAGATATACTTTATTGTCAAAATATAGTTTTACATTTTTCTTGCTTAGAAATGTGTACAAGCATTGATCACTCACATACATGCACACACATAGTGTTAGAATAAACTAACACATGCTTAGTGTGTTGATTAACAATGAAAATCCCCTATGTTAACCATTAGAATTAATAGATATTGAGTGAGACTTAAAACATATCATATAGCTCATATTTACCCCCTTAATAGTCGACTAATAGCATGAGTAGTCAACTACAACAAACACAGACAGAATATCAATTTCTGTGTCATTACAATCTAGTCAACTACTAGGCATTATAGTTGACTAATAAGAGTTGAATCAGAATTCCAGACTTTCTGTTTTTACAGAGTAGTCGACTAAGGAATATAGTAGTCGACTACTAAGGAATTATATGACTACACATAGTCTGTTTGAACTCAGAGTAGTCGACTAATAAGACTTGTAGTCGACTACTCAGACAGATTTTCTGACTATTTGATATTTGAATAAGTGACTGTTTGTAGTCGTTTTTGGACGTTTCTTAGGTTTGAAAACTTGTCATTTCAGATGCTATAAATAGGTTAACATGTCAGAAAACAATTACCAAGACTTGCACTTACAAAATTCATATATTGTGCAAATTAACTCTCAAAACTTTTAGTTTTTCAATCTGTTTTTCCAGAAAAGAGAGTTTCTGATATTGCATTTGTTCCATTCATTCTTAGAGCTTGTTTAGGCAAATTCAGATAATTAAAAAGATTGATAAGCCACTGTTACACGTTCACAACATATTTAAGGCTTATAGGATTGGAATTGTACATTACTTCAAAGAAAGATTCTCTCGGTTTGTGAAAGGGGTTGATCTCTTGATATAGAGGTCGGTTTACAATTGGCATGGTATTGTCAATTGGGTTTGCATTTTGCATGATCTTGTAAATTGGTCAGGTTTGCTGATTGATTTTGTAATGTTTCAAAATCATAGTGGAACTCTCAAGCGGAATTTGCTTGGGGACTGGATGTACACCAGGGAGGTGGAACCAGTATACGTGCCCGTGTTTGTGATGTTTATTTTCTGAGATTATCATTCTTTATTTATAATCTATTTTGCAAACTCACCCTCTAGTGTTTAAGTGTAAAGCTTCCGCGGATTTTTATAAGAACACACTCTATTTTTAAGGGTGACGATCCTATACTTGGTATAATATAAGCAAGTCATACCCTACAAATTGGTATCAAGGTGAAAGATGACATCATCAAGTACATCAACTAATTCACAATTCAAAGAGGGATATTCCACACAGCGACCACATTTCTTTGACGACACAAATTACAACTAGTGGAAGTGTCGGATTAAGATCTACCTCCAATCTCTTGGCTATGACTTATGGAACATCGTAGAGACTGAAATCACAAAGCCAACGACTCCATACACTGAATGGACGGTTGTTCAAAGAACAAACATAAATCTGGACTCTAAGGCAATAAATGTACTGTTTTGTGCCTTGGATAAGAACGAGTTCAATCGCGTGTCTACTTGTAATTCAGCCCATCAAATTTGGCATACATTAGAGGTAGCACACGAAGGTACAAATAAAGTTAAAGAGTCTAAAATCTCTGTTCTTGTGCACATGTTTGAGTTATTCAAAATGAAAGAACATGAGACAATCACTAAAATGATCACAAGATTCACCGACATCACCAACTCTCTAATTGGTCTTGGAAAAGAATACACATAATTAGAGATGGTGAGAAAAGTTCTTCGTGCACTTACACCGGAATGGGAGAAAAAGACGACCGCAATTGAAGAAGCCAATGATCTCTCAACACTTACCCTAGAAAATCTTGTTGGGAATTTAATGGCATATGAAGTACAACTTCAAGATAGAAGGGAGAGAGAATAACCAGAGAAGAAAATCATTGCTCTAAATGCATCTTCTGACAGCAATGAATCGTATGAAGATGATGAAGATATTGATGCTCTCTCAAGAAAATTCAAAAAGTTCCTTATCCAAAGTAAGTATAAAAAGGTTACAGATACTAACAATAATTTTATTTGTTATGGATGTAATAAGCCAGGACACATGAAGAAGGATTGTCCTCTTCAAAAGTCAAAATCTAAGTCTACAAACTTTAACAAGTCACAAAATAAGAAGAAAAAGGCTTTGACAATGGCATGGGATGATAGTTCTTCCGAAGAAGAAGAAGAAGAATAAAAAGAGGAATCCGCTCACTTGTGTTTTATGGCACAAGAAGATGAGGTATGTGATAATTTTAATAATGATGAATTATTAGAAGCATTCAATGAACTTTATGTTAAATATAAGTATTTATAAGTTATTGAAAACTGAAAATGAAAATTTAAACTTACAATTAGTAACTTTAAATTCTTCACAAGTTGAAAATTTGAATGAACTAAATAATAATTTATTTTCTAAAATTAAATTATTGACTAATGATAATATTTATCTAAAATCTGAATGTGATAAATTAATAACTCGTATTTCAGATTTAGATAAAGAAATGTGTTCTCTTAAACTCAAATATGAAGAGTTATTTTTTAATGTGAACAAATTCAACAAAGAAAAAGAAGACTTGACTAATTTATTATCTTTTCAAAAGTCTTCTAATTAAAAGTTTGAATTAGGATATGTTCACAAGAAAAATGAATATGTTAATAGAACATATTTTGCATCATCTCATAAAGTATCTTTGTATAAGAAATTTATGTACATTTGGGTACCTAAAGATACTTGTTTAAATGGAAGAGATGATTATATTTCAAGTTTTAAGAAAAATATATGCAATTCAAAGAATTATAATTATGTTAATAGATGAAAACTAAATTCCAAGTGGATTTGGGTTCCTAAGGGCTAATCCTAATGATATAATATAAAAAGGGTATCAAAGTGCTTAATGTTTTTATTAAGGTACCCGGTAAAGAAAAATAAATTTAACTAGAAT